ATAACAATGCACTTCTTTTGTTTAAATAATACCCAGGAGCATAGAAGATTTTCAAAGAATCGATGCATTTTCACTATATTATCAATAGAACCCCGCCCTAACACCAGAACCCCTGAGCCTGGGGCCATGAAATTCACAATTTGTGAAGAGGCACTCTTGCTCATCATAACTGTGTACTAAGTTAGTTTATTTAATACCCAGGAGCAGAGAAGAAGGTTTTAAGAGAAATAATGCATTTCACTATATAATCAATAGAGGCCTACCCTAACACCAGAACCCCGACCCAGGGGCCATGAAATTCTCAATTTTGAAAGAGGTAGCCATGCTCATCATAACTATGTTCTTACTTAGTTTATTTAATACCCAGGAGCAGAGAAGAAGATTTTCAAAGATTTAATGCATTTTCACTATATAATCAATGGAGCCCACCCTAAAACCAGAACCCCTGACCCTGGGGACATGAAATTCACAATTTTGAAAGAGGAACTCTTGCTCATCATAACTATGTACTTAGCTAGTTTGTTTAATACCCAGGAGCATAGAAGATTTTCAAAGAATCGATGCATTTTCACTATATTATCAATAGAACCCCGCCCTAACACCAGAACCCCTGAGCCTGGGGCCATGAAATTCACAATTTGTGAAGAGGCACTCTTGCTCATCATAACTGTGTACTAAGTTAGTTTATTTAATACCCAGGAGCAGAGAAGAAGGTTTTAAGAGAAATAATGCATTTCACTATATAATCAATAGAGGCCTACCCTAACACCAGAACCCCGACCCAGGGGCCATGAAATTCTCAATTTTGAAAGAGGTAGCCATGCTCATCATAACTATGTTCTTACTTAGTTTATTTAATACCCAGGAGCAGAGAAGAAGATTTTCAAAGATTTAATGCATTTTCACTATATAATCAATGGAGCCCACCCTAAAACCAGAACCCCTGACCCTGGGGACATGAAATTCACAATTTTGAAAGAGGAACTCTTGCTCATCATAACTATGTACTTAGCTAGTTTGTTTAATACCCAGGAGCAGAGAAGAAGATTTTCAAAGAATTAATGCATTTTCACTATAAAATCAAAAGAGCCCCGCCCTAACACCAGAACCCCTGACCCAGGGGCCATGAAATTCACAATTTTGGAAGAGGTAGTCTTGCTCAACATAACTAGTTTATCTACTACCCAGGAGCAGAGAAGAAGATTTTCAAAGAAATAATGCACTTTCACTATATGATCTATATAGCCCCACCCTAGCAACTGAACTCCTGACCCTGGGGTTATGAATTTCACAATTTTGGTAGAGCGCTCAATGCCTATTACAATCATGCCAACAGTTTGACTGCTTGATGTCCAGGAGTAAAGAAGAAGATTTTTAAAGATTGCATTAATTTTGGTGGTTTTAGCCCCACCCCTCAGGCCCATGGGGGGCAGGGACCATGAAATTCACAACTTTTGTCCCCCTTCACCCAGAGAAGAAGCTGAAAATGTTTAAATGTTAACGCACGACGAACATCGGACGACGCACGACGACGGACAAAAACGGAGGTGACCTAAAAAGACATTATATGACCACCCGGCGCTGTTGTCGTTAAGTTTCATGACGTCCAACAACGTCATTATTTCTCAATTTCCGCTCTCTGTCTCAATACACTTATCTTGATGAGATTCCCTGGAGTTACATGTAGGCGCATGCGTGAGGTGACGGGTGTCGGTGTACTGAGCTCCTGAAATTTTATGTTTTATTGAGCACTGTACATAGACACGCACCCCCTCACGCAGAGTGCGATAATACTTTAGTGGTTTTGCACTGAACTGGAAGAAGAAGAAGAGGTAAAGGTCTAAACCCGTCTTGTGTACAGTGTATATGACTTTACAATGTCATGAACAGTTAATTTCAATGCATATACTTTTGTAAATGGATCTATACATATGAAATGATCATATCTTGATCATTCCAGTATAATGCTCTTGTCGGAGTTCAAAGGTCACACATGATCAACGTCACTTTTCGACGTGACTGACTTTGGACACCCTGACTACAAATCGACATTAAATGTGTGTCTTTTATCTCTGGGAATCTTATTGTCATTTAAAAATAGGTACTATGGGTGCCTTTATTTCTCTGTAGCACGTTTAAATATTTTCTAGGTCAATTTTTTTTCCAGGGGGTGAAAATTAAAAAAATGTAGGAAAAAGATACCCTCCCCCTTTTGACGTCATTTTAAATGCATTAAAAAGTAATTCGGGAGAGAGTAAAGGTAAGAAGTACTCAACAGGAAAACTTATAATTCCGAAATGGTCAAGTTTCGTTTATATATGTATATATTTTGTTTTCTATTCAATAGAAGTTGTTGAAACTCATGCAAAAGCCTATATCCTTTGTCCGTATACTTAGTTTACTTTCTACACTTGAGTATCTCTGGCGATTTGTCAGTATTTACTTGGTAATTTAGTAGAAAATGCTTCAATTCTGCTCTGTATGTCAAAGAAAATGGGACAGCTTATAGCTAGAGAAAAATTAATCACGTGTTAAATATGGCATGTCAAACGTTGCAATATTCGATCTTTTCCATTTGTATTGTATAACTTTCCATTTGTATTGTATAATTTTTATTTGTATTGTATAATTTTTCATTTGTATTGTATAATTTTTCATTTGTATTGTATAATTTTCAATTTGTATTGTATAATTTTTATTTGTATTCTATAATTTTCCATTTGGATTGTATAATGTTTATTTGTATTCTATATTTTCCATTTGCATTGTATAATTTCTTATTTGTATTGTATAATTTCTTATTTGTATGCGATAATTTTTCATTTGTATTGTATCCGAGGATTGTTTATTTATTTCGTTACGAAGGATGTCATTGGTCATAAAATTTAGTCTGTATAAAGGTCTCAGGTGCCCATCACAATCTTAGTCTGGTACCCTTCCCACAATTCCGATCGCGCACTCTCTACAAACACAAACTCGGCTCCTCTATTTGCTGTGCATGCTAAGGGACGACCATTTGATTCTCAGGGGGTGTCGAATCCGATTATTTATTTTCATTCTCTCGCAGGAGAGAATATTTATTTCCAATATGACCAGAGACAAGGAGAAAAACAAAAAGAAGAAAATCCGCCCAAACCCGAAAACTCAGTTTTTTGGGGGTGGGGGTAGTTACCACCACTCAAGGTCAATTTATTTATTTTCTCAGTCAGCATTCCTAAGGACAGATTATTTATTTACTATCGACCAGCGCTCCCTTTTTAGAATCCAATGACCGTCTAACATGCACGCAAATACATATGCCGCCGAAATATGGCTGAAATATTGCCGACTCGGCGTTAAACAATAATCAATCAAGCAATCAAGCAAATACATATGAGCCCAGTTTGCTTTGAGCATCCGGAACATCTTCAACCCGATACAGGCTGAAACTTGACCAATGAAATCCTTCGTAACGAAACAAATAAACAGTCCGCGGATACAATACAAATGAAAAATTATCGCATACAAATAAGAAATTTTACAATACAAATAAGGAATTATACAATGCAAATGGAAAATTATACAATACAAATAAAAATTACACAATACAAATGAAAATTATACAATACAAATAGAAAATTATAGAATACAAATAAAAATTATACAATACAAATGAAAAATTATACAATACAAATAGAAAATTATACAACACAAATAAAAATTATACAATGCGAAGAATGACGTAGTGTTGTCCCCCCATGTAGATGACTCTCTTTTTTGTTTTTAAAAGGGTCTGTGTTTCCTAGGTGGTCCAAGGTCGTTTTTTGCGTTAGTTTTACATAGAAATTTAATAACTATATATATATATATATATATATATATATATATATATATATATATATATATATATATATATATATATATATATATATAAATATCTCAGTGAGGTCTGGACCCCCGTCCCCCTTGATCCGCCCATGATCTTGTATCAGACAGCCAAGGGTCTATAAATTTAAGTAGAATGCACACAAAAACTCGCTAGCGACGATGTCCCCACAACATACAAAAAAGTCCGATTTAAAGGAATTAAAGGAAATTATCATTTTCATAACACCGTAAGACAGTATGTTTTTTGTAAGATTTGTATAAGTGAAGCTTATGCACGCAAAGCCTATTCACGGGTGAGAGATTTGCTACAGTTACCTGCGCTGAGACACAGTGGAAAACTGTCTAATGCAGAACGCATTGTATTAATTGTATGGAAATCTCAATTATATATATATATATATATATATATATATATATATATATATATATATATATATATATATATATATATATATATATATATATATATATATATATATATATATATATATATATATATAAATTTAATATATATATATATATATATATATATATATATATATATATATATATATATATAAATTTAATATATATATATATATATATATATATATATATATATATATATATATTATATATATATATATATATATATATATATATATATATATATATATATATATATATATATATATATATTTAAATTTAATAATATATTTTAAGGTATACAGCATTTAAAATAATTTCCACATTTTTTTCATGATTTTTGTGATTTTATTTTAAAGGAGGGGGAGGAATCTGGGGCTAATTTAGGTAATTATATTTTTTAACTTTCAGAATCCACATATTCCATGAGGGGGGGGGGGTGCAGGGATCTGGGCTAAATTAGATTTATTTTTAGCATATAATAAAAGCAATTTATAACAATAAAAAATGGATTTATTCATCCTTACCACATTTTGGGTCACAAACAGCAGGGAGAGGGATCTAAATTCACCAGTTTCATTGTGACGCCATCGTCATACTGATTTTCAGGAGCTTACGGTGTAGTCCCTCCTCTTCGGGCAATACCTTGGATCCTCGACTAGAATAAACTTTGAACGAGCTGACAACATACAATGTGAAACTCTCCACTTCCGGTAAAAATAATGTCGAAGTGAACTTACCATTTTACGCCCGTCTTACCATAAGGAAGCTGCAAATCGATATGGAAGGGTACTCTACAGCTTTGTACATGTTTGTTAGTTTCTCTTGTATATTGGTAAGTTATTTTAATACAACTCATAAACTTTTCCACTTCTCAGCATTTATAGAAGTTGACGAGAGCTCTTGGCCCAATGTTTGTTTTGGAAGTAACTCGGCACATCTCTGCCGATTCGTACTTCATCTAACCTCGGCTGTATCATCTAAAGCACCATTAAATCGGGACTACTTTAGAAACAATATGTCTGTACCCTGTATTACATGATTACAGTGTGCTGGTTTCCATCTGGTAAACATGATCAGATGATCTTCTTGATTTAGCTATATATCTTGATTGAGCTATTTTATCACACTTTTTTCTTAAATGTGAAGTTTTTTTTTTCAGCATGTAAAAAACTGGACTTTTCCCACCTTTGTAATGTTCTGAAAATAATGCATGAAAAAATTCTCTATCAAACTATGTCTCAACATCTCTATGAATGACTTTGCATCAAACTTCTTAAAAGTTTTGGTGCTATATAAAGGAGAGGCGATAAATAAAGTACTGCAGATTTCTGACTCTCTCTGTTTTCTATTGGTATTCTTCATACTGCTTTAGGCCAGTCTTTTAAAAATCTACTGGCCAAGTGGGACAGTGAAAGTACTGAGTTGACAAGTAAAAATTTTAGGTGAAAGCTGGAGTGACCGGTGAAAAAAATTATTATTTCTAGCCCTGATAAATATATAAAAAATGTTAGAGTATCATATAATGAATTAAGAATTTTTTAAATTTCAGACTCCCAATTGTTCCGGATTGCAATTTTTAAAATAATTTTTTTCATTTCACCAAAAGAATTGCTTCCAAATTTTTGGGCGCATATTTGCTACGGTAAACATGTTAATTAAAGTTAATTACCACATACACAAAAATGATAAATATACCAGCAATGCTACCTATGATAATGTCACCTGTCCAAAAGCAGTAAATTCTAGTACTGAGTTATAAATACAGAAACCCTAAATAGATACCCGTTCATCAAACTGCTCAATTTTGTCCATAAATGCCACCATTTGTTATATATTTCGATAGTTTTATGTTTTTGTTAATTAAATTCAATGTAGTTAATGGGCCTGAGATGTATGAATCCAGTCTGTTAAGCCATGTGGAGAATTTCAACAAAAAACATAAATCTGAGAGGTTCTTGAGTCTGCAGTTCTAGATTAATGGCCAGCCTATAAAAACAACTGATTTGTGACTATACTTCTTGAATGAAATATAAAAGCAGGTCAAATCTGTTCAACAAGATAATTCAACACAATGTGAAGTAGTCATACTTGTCATTCTTAAGGTTATATTAGAACAAGATCAAGTAATTGAATACTTTATTTCCCGATGTAAGTAAAAAACAGTGATTTCTGTTCATCATATTCATAAATAGTTCATTTTCTTTGAATATTTTTCTGGAGAAATAAGGCAGGGACCCTATGTTGAAAATGAACTAGATTTACTGAATATTTGCACCTTCATGTGATATATTTTTCTCATAGTCCAAAAAAGCATTTTTCAGTAGTGTTTAGAACTTCCTTTACTGTAAAACGAGGAAATGTGGTGCACTACTAATTTTAGCGCCCCTGAACGATAAAATTTGGATTTCTAAATGTTCAAAGCAATCAGTTAAGTACATGTAAAGCGGTGAGCGATTACGTACATGTAATGTTGTAGGGTCATTGTATTTTATATACACACTCGTACTGGTAAACAATAGGATCGATCGAGAAAGTTCTGCCAAATTACAAATTAATTAAACTATTGTTAGTTGTTACCCTGTACTTATCATTAGCACCTTCAAAGTTGGGCTGCTCACCGTGTCAGTCATCTAACGCCTTGAGGTGAACAATGCAATCAAGCATGGCGATCAACCTTGCAGACAATACCTGATTATGTTTACCAATTATCCAAGTAATTTTCCTTAGATGCATGCATGGTTTTATCATGAATAAAATGCGTGAACACCTGGCCTATAATCCTTTATTGAAGTACAAACACTGCAAGGTTAAACGACAGATGTATTCAGTCTAAACTGTGACTTCACATCAGTTGAAATTCTGTAAAGAAATCTAAAGATTGCAAATTTTGGACAATAGGCATTGATATTTTTCTAAGAAAAGAATTTTTTCTTTTAAGTTCTTTGAAAGTACTAAATCTTCATACCTTTTGTTTATCTGCTATTATTCATTGAATTGTGATAGTGGAGGAATTCTGGGAAGGTTTCATACAAAAGTTGGAAGGACAAATCTAATTCACATTATCTACTGTATACCTCAGTAATTAACACATTCTCAATGCTTTCTGATGACATTTTAAGAATTATCAATAGGTTTATGTAGCTAGTTTTAGTAGGATTAAATACCCAGGTAGAAATCTCCATATTTAAAGATAATCTTTGGACTAGACATGTTTTACTCATACATCTCAGTCCAATAGCTGGCATATTTGACAAAATGAAAATGAAATTTCCCTTTACATTTTTTTATGTAAATTTTTTTTTTTATATTTAGACTTTTTTTCTTTCAGCTTTCTCTGTCATCAGTGGGCTGTGAATCCCCCAATAATGCTGGGGTAGAAAAGAGCAGTTTTGAGGACAAGCGATGTAAATGTGTGTGTCCTAACGTAGCCCCAAATGGAACCATCATGGGGAAAAGTCGTACCTGGATCAAGGATGATCTCGACCCGACAAGTTGGTTAGTTATGTTAAATAGATATTCTAGGACCTGGGTTGTGTTTAGGATTGTAGCAGCTAGCATAGCTGCTAGGTTAGATATGTAGATCATATATTGAGCTAGATAGATATGGAAGAACTTCAACACATATATAGATATAGAAGAAATAAGTCTGTAACAATAGTTAAGGAATGAAGCTTATCTTAACCTGTGTTATACGATATAACATAACTGGGGGCAGTTTACACTTTATAAACCGCAAAGCAGTTTATAAAAAAGCGTAAACTGCCCCTAGTTATGTTATATCATATAACACAGGTTAAAAATAAGCTTCATTCCTTATCATTTAATTTCAGTGTAGACAATAGGACAATTTCCCTTCAAAAATGTCTTCAAATTGAGCATATTTCAAAAGTAACGTCAAGCAGAGTAATACGTTTTTGACGTAACTCATTGTGACTTAGCAACTTATGTTATACGATATAAATGAAATCTTTAATCCAATCAAATGATGTGTTACAACTAAAATTAAATTATATAGATATAGAAAAACTTGGTCACATAGATCATGTAGATAGATATGGAAGATATGGCTGTTGTATAGTAGACAATATCAAGCTGTTGTATGGTGTCCAGTATTGAGCTGTTGTATGGTAGACTTCAATGGAAAGCAGATCAGGTTGTGTCACAAGTTAAAAACAGTAGAAATATGTTACTAAAGTCTTAGTTAATTATGCATACGGGGCTTATATCTCTCAGTTGATTCGATACATAAGAGCATGCTCTACGTATGTACAATTTCTAAAACGAGGTAAATTATTGACAAACAAGTTGGTGAAACAAGAATATCAGCAGTCTCGTTAAAAGTCATCATTTCGTAAGTTCTATGGTCGATACAATGACCTTGTCAGCAAATACAATTTATCATAGAGTCAAATGCTGACTGACGTTTTTCATACTAATTGTTAGGTCATTATTTACACACTGAATTGTTGACGTATTTTTCTGCTATTTCCCAATCATGACAAGGAGCACATGGCGGGTTTGATCGGTCGGCAGGGGATGCTCACTCCTCCATGGCACCTGATCCCACGTCTGATGTTTTGGAGGTCCGTGTTTGCTCTGCTCCTATTTTGTATTGTTTAATGGGCTTTTGAGCTTGAATACTGTTCATTATCTCCATATATTTCATTGATTGATTAAGTAGGACCTGATCTGATACATGGAAAAGATATACTTGAACTTAATTGGTCAATTTCTCTTGTTATTATAACACTTCTACAGTTCCTATATAAAGATGACCTGATATGGCTCTTACTAGAGCTTCTTGATCTGTCAAAGTCTGACTCAGAGTCTTATTAGCTTTCCTAAACTTAAAGCTTACGTGTGCTTTTCTGATCACATTTTGTCCAGCATCTGTTAAGCTGTCCGTCCATCTGTAATTTTTATGCCCCCGGATCGAAAGATTCCGGGGGTATATTGTTTTTGTCCTGTCTGTCTGTTTGTCTGTTTATCTGTTTGTCTGTTTGTTTGTCTGTTTGTCTGTCTGTCTGTTGTCAATTTTAACCTTGCCCATAACTTTTGATTGGTTGGAGCTATGACTTTCATATTTCACATGTGTATTCCTTGTGACAAGACCTTTCTTTGGGTACCATCATATTTGACCTTTTGACCTTGACCTTGGAGTTTGACCCACTTTTGCAAAATTTTATGAGACTTTAACCTTGGCCATAACTTCTGAACAGTTGGAGCTTGGGGTTTCAAACTTCACATGTGTATTCTTTGTGACAAGGCCTTCTTTTGGATACCAACCACTTTGACCTTTTGACCTTGACCTTGGACTTTGACCTACTTTTGAAAAACTTTAACCTTGGCCATAACTTTTGAACAGTTGGTGCTTAGGGTTTCAAACTTCACATGTGTATTCCTTGTGACAAGACCTTCCTCTGGATATCAACCACTTTGATCCTTTTGACCTTGACCTAGGAGTTTGACCTACTTTTGAAAAACTTTAACCTTGGCCATAACTTTTGAATGGTTGGAGCTAGTTCTTTCATACTTCACATATGTAATCCTTGTGACAAGACCTTCCTCTGAATACCAACGACTTTGACCTTTTGACCTTGACCTAGGAGTTTGACCTACTTTTGAAAAACTTTAACCTTGGCCATAACTTTTGAATGGTTGGTGCTAGGGCTTTCATACTTCACATATGTAATCCTTGTGACGAGATCTTCCTTTGGATACCAACCACTTTGACCTTGACGTTTGACTTTTATTTAAAAAACTTTAACCTTCACCATAACTTTTGAACAGTTGAATCTAGGTCTTTCAAATTTCACAGGTGTTTTCCTCGAGACAAGATCTTTCTTTGGGTATCAACATTTTTTATCTTTTGACCTGGATTTTGACTTGCATTTGAGAAACTTTAACCTTCGACATAAGCTGCCATACGGGGGCATAGTGTTTCACAAACACATCTTGTTTCACATTTTTTACTTCTACTCAACAACCACTCTGCCAAATTTAACCAAAATTGGCACAAAGCATCCTTTGGTGAAGGGGATTCTTAATTGTTCAAATGAAGGGCCAAGTCTTATTAAAGGGGAGATAATTAAGAAAAGGCAAAAATAGGGGGGGTTCATTAAAAATTCTTCTCAATAACCACTGGGCCAGAAGAGATGAAACTTATTTGAAAGCTTTCTAAGGTGTTGTAGATTCAAGATTGGTCAAATCTTGGCCCCCAGGGGTAGGGTGGGAGCACAGTAGGGGATCAAACTAGTACATGAAATATATAGGAAAAATTCTTTAAAATCTTTTTCTCAAAAAGTTTGGACGAGAAAAGATGAAACTTATACGAAAGCTTCCTGGGGTATAATTTATTCTAAATTGTACAAATCATGGCCCTCCGGGGGTAGAGTGGGGGCACAATAGGGATCAAAATTTGACATTAAAAATTATAGAAAAATTCTTTAAAAATCCTCTTCTCAAGGACACTGGGCCAGAAAAGATGAAACTTATGTGAAAGCTTCCTGAGGTAGTGTAGATTCTAAAATTTTCAAATCATAGTCCCCCAAGGGTAGGGTAGGACCACAATAGGGGAACAAAGTTTTACATTTAAATAGGTAGGAAAAATTCTTTTAAATTCCTCTTCTCAAGAACCACTGGGACAGGTGAGATGAAACTTGTGTGAAAGCTTTCCGAGTTGTAGGATAGGGTCACAACAGGATCAAGGATGGGGTCAATTACATAGGAAAGTAATTAATTAAATTACAATTACTTGCCCAAAACTTTCAATTAAATTACCATTACAAGGATTTTGAAATGTAATTAATTAAATTACAACTACTTTGCAAATGTAATTAATTAAATAACTAATTACATTTTATGAACTTATAATAAATAAATAGTCATGAACGTTCCTTTATAGTCATGTCATATTCAGTTACATTTTTTTGATTTATATTCTTGGGATGTCCATGAAATTTTCTCAAATAAAGTGTCTCCAGCTAACTTCTCAGACATAGAATCCTCAGTTAACCTACATTTATCAGACTTGAGAGGGTTTTTCCTCCACAGTGAAGATATCAGACTTGAGAGGGTTTTTCCTCCACAGTGAAGATACTTTCCACTTGGGGCATGTGTGACAGGAATAGATAGATATTGACTCTCAAGAATACCATGTTTATCCATGTTTTTATTTTAATCAAATGTGTTACAAAATTTGATGTCATTTTAAAGCTTTTTGGGGTGTATTTATATAAAATAATAATGCATTTTGCCTTGATGTTTCCTTTTTAGCATTGTGACACGATTGCGGTGTTTTTCTTTGAAGTTTGCTGTTCTGTATTAGCAATACAGAGTGGAAATTCAGTGGGCGGAGCTACTTTCCGTGGTGCTTTTTTTTGATTGATCGTGTCACAAATCATTTAGAGAACTCGACAGGTTCTGTATCGTAGATACAAATTTTGGGTGGAGACTCGTGCTACGCACTCGTCCACCCCAAATTTGTATCTACAATACAGTACCTGTCTCGTTCTCTAAATAATACTTATAAGCTAGATCTCAAAATATTGGTACATGTATTTGACATATATTGTGTCAAACTAACATAAATCCAAATTCAAAATGTATAAATGTCTATTAAAATTCATTGTCAGCATATACATACATGACCTAAGGGCACTAATTAGTCACTCTAACATAAGCTGTTAACAGATATGGCAACAATTAAAGGATTATAGAAACCACTGGACTAGGTATTTCAACTGTAATAATTAATTCATAAACAACTTAGTCAAAACTATTAAGTTCATTTGTGTATATATAAACACAGAGAGAATACTTTGAAAGTTCCTTTAAAAAAATGCACAAGATAAAACAGCAATTCATTTATAGGAGGAAATATGAATATTCCTGTAAGATATTAACCATCAAAATATTTTTTTCCCAAAAGATCAGTTAAGCTTTCTTGAAGAGTGTATAGTGGGTTGGGGAGGGGGGAGGGTATTGATTTTTCATTCATTATACATCATTCAGTGTAATTGAATGTAATTGAAAAGTAATTGTGAATTACATGCATTTTCTCCAAAGTAATTAATTAAATTACAATTACTTGTAATTGAAAATTTGTCCAATAACACATTACTTACAATTACATCAAAATTTTTAATTAATTACTGTTAATTACCATTACACATTACCATTACTCCATCCCTGTACAGGATATCAAAGTTTACATGGCGCTTTATAGGAAATAAATTTGGAAAATCTGTCTGAGAACAACAAATGAACCACACATATGCAAACATTCCCAAGTTGGTTGATTTATTTTTTTCAAATTATGCACCATGGATTAAAGTGAGCTTAAGGAGTGTTTAAATTTTACATTATGCATGTATATTGGAAAAGAATGATCTCCTCCGTTACTACAAGGCCAAGTTCATCATTATGATATTGAAGCATCACCATGTTGTATGGATTCAGAGACCCTTAAAGTAAGAGTTGGCTATTATATGGGGTCACAATTTTTTCATAGGAATATATATATATATATAATATACATACATATATATATATATATATATATATATATATATATATATATATATATATATATATATATATATATATATATATATATATATATATGAATTCTGAAGAAAGCAAGGCTAAAGATAGTCAGGTGAGCCTTGTTGCCCATGGGCCTCTTAACTTTTGATTAGTTGATGTTTTAATAACAATCATGTGTTGTATTTGACAGTGACTGTTACCATGTGTTGGAGGACCATGCAAGTGGAGAAGTCTGTGCCCTGTGTGAATGTCTGTATGAAAGCAGGAACACCACTGTAATTAAGGTCAGTAAATCAGGAACACCACTGTGATTCAAGTCAGTTAAGCAGGAACACCACAGTGATTAAGGTCAGTAAAGCAGGAACACCACAGTGATTAAGGTCAGTAAAGCAGGAACACCACAGTGATTAAGGTTGGTAAAGCAGGAACGCCACTGTGATTAAGGTCAGTAAACCAGGAACACCACAGTGATTAAGGTCAGTAAAGCAGGAACACCACTGTAATTAAGGTCAGTAAACTGGGAACACCACAGTGATTAAGGTCAGTAAAACAGGAACACCACAGTGATTAAAGTCAGTAAAGCAGGAAGACCACTGTAATTAAGGTCAGTAAACTGGGAACACCACTGTGATTAAGGTCAGTAAACCAGGAACACCACAGTGATTAAGGTCGGTAAACCAGGAACACCACAGTGATTAAGGTCAGTAAAGCAGGAACACCACAGTGATTAAGGTCGGTAAACCAGGAACACCACAGTGATTAAGGTCAGTAAACCAGGAACACCACAGTGATTAAGGTCGGTAAACTGGGAACACCACAGTGATTAAGGTCAGTAAACCAGGAACACCACAGTGATTAAGGTCAGTAAACCAGGAACAACACAGTGATTAAGGTCGGTAAACTGGGAACACCACAGTGATTAAGGTCAGTAAACCAGGAACACCACAGTGATAAAAGGCAGTAAACCAGGAACACCACTGTGATTGAAGTCAAGAAACCATGAACATCACTGTGATTAAGGTCAGTAAACTGGGGAACACCACATTGATTAAGGTCAGTAAACCAGGAACACCACTGTGATTAAGGTCAGTAAACCAGGAATAACACAGTGATTAAAGTCAGTAAAGCAGGAAACACCACTGTGATTAAGGAACACCACAGTGATTAAAGTCAATAAAGCAGGAACACCACAGTGATTAAGGTCGGTAAACCAGGAACACCACAGTGATTAAGGTCAGTAAACCAGGAACATCACTGTGATTAAGGTCAGTAAACCAGGAACACCACAGTGATTAAGGTTGGTAAAGCAGGAACATCACTGTGATTAAGGTCAGTAAACCAGGAATACCACAGTGATTAAGGTCAGTAAACCAGGAACACCACAGTGATTAAGGTCGGTAAACCAGGAACACCACAGTGATTAAGGTCGGTAAACCAGGAACATCACTGTAATTAAGGTCAGTAAACCAGGAACACCACAGTGATGAAGGTCGGTAAAGCAGGAACATCACTGTGATTAAGGTCAGTAAACCAGGAATACCACAGTGATTAAGGTCAGTAAACCAGGAACACCACTGTGATTCAAGTCAGTAAACAAGGAACACCACAGTGATTAAGGTCGGTAAACCAGGAACACCACAGTGATTAAGGTCGGTAAAGCAGGAACATCACTGTGATTAAGGTCAGTAAACCAGGAACACCACTGTGATAAAAGTCAGTAAACCAGGAACACCACTGTGATTGAAGTCAAGAAACCATGAACATCACTGTGATTAAGGTCAGTAAACTGGGGAACACCACAGTGATTAAAGTTAGTAAAGCAGGAATACCACAGTGATTAAGGTCAGTAAACCAGGAATACCACAGTGATTAAGGTCAGTAAACCAGGAATACCACAGTGATTAAAGTCAGTAAAGAGGGAACACCACAGTGATTAGGGTCAGTAAACCAGGAACACCACTATGATTAAAGTCAGTAAACCAGGAACACCACTGTAATTAAGGTCAGTACAAAAATAGGAACAACAGTCAGTCAGGCACTAGAAATAGATAAGGGATTACCTTTGCGATAAAAAGTGTTTGTATTTCAGGCGATGGTGATCTTCATCATATGTGTGGTGGTCCTTTTGTTCATATATATGTGTTTATATTTCAGGTGGTGGTGATATTCATCATTTGTGTGGTGGCCCTGCTATTCATTTATATGTGTTTCCTCCTGTGTTTGGATCCACTCATCGCTAAGAGACCAAGGACACAGTATCAACAACAAGTGAACGAGGAGGTGAATTTGGTAATCTCTGGCAGTGGGCTCTCTCTTATTTTTAATCTTCAACTTTGTCACAGCTTACCTTAATTACAGTAAACTTTGCTTAAAAGGAACTCTGATATCAGGAGGCTTCTTTTTTTTCCAGTCCTATTTTTGTATGGATCTATTGATAATGGTTATTAGAACTTAAAATTCATATTCCTTGAACTTCCTTATAAGCAAGTCTTACTGTACAGTACTATAGTCTTTTTACTTTAGTCTCACACTTTCTGTTTCTAGATATAAACTTTCCTGTAAAACATTATTAAAAAGTTCTCAAAATTGAAAATATACAGTTTAAAAATTATTCAGATTATTAGCTTCTCTTTAAAAATTTGTCTTTATTAGCCTTTGATATTCATATTTTACAATCTTGCTGTATTTTTATATATACATATATAAGGGTGAAACGTTTACTGAAATTTGTAAACGTTTAAATGAACAGCAGTAAACGAAACGTTACCGTTTAAACGGGAGAATATTTTGTGTTGAATTTTTATGGTTACTTACTCATTAAACACTAATTTGATACTCTATTCTTTCACTATAATGTAAGTATGAGTTGTTATAACTATTTATTTGTTGGTTTTTATGACGAAAGAATATGAAGCGCATAAAACTCATTCACTTTTACACTGCATTAATAGTTTGTTTGGCTACATACCGGACGTAGAAAAAGCATTGTCAAATTAATCTTGCAAAGATGGCTCTTTTAATCCTGAATTAAGTATACCGCGATTTGCTGACTGTGTTGAAACACTTTTCAAAGACTGGTGAAAACGTATTATATTTAAATTTAATCAACGTAAATCAAGTTTTATACTTGGAAAAATAAAATAAAATCATAATAAATCTTTAGTATTCGCTACTCAGAAATCGGAATCAAATATGTTAGACGCAATTGGGTTTTAGATATTTTAGTTTAATAACATGTTTCCATTATCGATTTAAACAGAAAACAATTGTTTTCTTTGGTAAATATGAAATTAAACAACTTGTTTGTATTTATCTTTACTTCTGATAGACATTGATAATGACCTTCGTGTAAACGTTTACACAATTCGTAAACGTTTAGAGCATTTAATCGAAACGTCGCCGTTTACACGTGTAATTGTTTCGCCCTTATACATATACATAATTTGCACTTTTAAAGTTAAGACATTGTCTTTATTGTCCCATTCAAAGCAAAGAAATTTTAGTTTATACATTTAAGCAATGAATTGTAAATTTTGAACCTTCACAGTGTCATTACAAGGAAGGCTGTGCTGAATAACTGAGTTCTTTAGTCGTCCATCAAAATTTACGATTCAATACTTATACATTGTATTTATATTTATTGATTTTAGGGTAGATTAATAAACTATTGCTTCTTTGATTATATTAGTGACCTCCTTGTACATGTTATGAATGCCGAAGCTTTCAACACACTTTACAAGAAAAACATCTAAAGAATGTAAATATTTGACAATGTTTGTCAGTAATAACCATTCCATAGTGAGCTCTATCCATAACAGGAACAATGGAGGAAATTCAGGTTGAATTCTACATATTGTTAAAAAAATTGATGGACCAACATTTAGAAATTCTAATACTCCCAGTTCTCTTTTTGTGCATTGAACAAAAACTAAAGTATAACAATGACTTGAAAAAAAAATGAATTTTATTGAATCTCTCTACCACAAACTAACACAAGCATGCTCAATAGATGACTGTACATAATGTCAATTTTTCATCATAAAAAGTCTTAGGTATTCCAGATTTTGTCAGAATTATCCAAGAACAAAGCTGAGAATTTCAATCCTGAGGCATAGAGAGTTAGCATTTTAGAAAACTTTAACAATAAAATCTTTTATCTGTCATAAAATCTGTCTGGAGAAAAAATAAAGATACAAGACGTAGTAAACACAGGTAACATGTGTTTCATGAAAATCATGACATAGTTTGAAATATGCAAAGGATATTTCAGATGTGTAGAATGCATTTATAATTAAAGAAAACTGCACTTACCCTAATAGTCTCACTGTCAGATTTATTACTGTCTTATAAAGAGAATAATAGTCTTATTAACAGAACAAATAATTACCCCCAAAGTATAACAAAATAATACTGTCATTGACAGAACTAATAATTACCCACAGAATGTAACGAATAATACTGACAAAGGAATTATTCAGCTGATCCTGGACTTTTATACATATAGTAAACAGATTTTTATGAATAATATAGCCCTGCTTACACACAATGCAGTGTTAAGAATTATGGTGAAGAAAATAGTTTAGACAACATCCAAGTTTTAGAGCACTAATACAGAACTGTTTACTAATACAGTATAACCTCTGTACAGTATAATTAACTTGTAAAACATGTATAATTCATATACATGTATCGATAGTCATACAGAAGTAATACATACATTATTCATTAGTTATAGTTATATAGAAGTGCTTGGATGCAGTATATTTATATTAATTCATACAATATAACCACTGTTGCACAGTCCTGTTTACCCACATAATCATATAATATGTATACTGTTTACGTATAGCGTAACAGCTGCCAGGGTTATTTTATCCTAATGGAGACTTAAGAGTTAAGACTAAATTGTTCCATATTACCATGGAAGGGTTGTTGCCTTATAATATCTATTTTGTTTCCAGGACAACCTAGCTGCAGAACCTCAAAGACCAACGACAGCCAGGCGTCGTGTTGACAGGCAGCGATCCGTCATCAATCAAGTCACAGATGTACAGAAAAGGTGGAAGGACACTGTACAGGAACAGAGGAAGCAGATTTATGACCATCACTCACTCTTAAACTAAACAGACCTAAACTATTAACTGAACTTAACAAGAGGAATTAGATGATCATCAATAATTCTTGAACTAAACAGATCTGTGACCTTAACTAACTACTGAACAAAGGAAAAAGATTCCAGATCACTCACTCTTAAACTAAACAGATCTGTGGCCATAACTAACAATGAATTGAGCAGGTCGCTGGCCTTATATCACACTTACAGAAACAGATCTGTGATTTTTACCAACAACTTAACTACACAACCATTTACCAAGGAGAATTCCTGTTATGAATATCTACTCTAGTGAGGGGAGGTGTACTACTTAGCATAATTTTTTTCTGTTTTTCACGAAAGTCCAGTCTGGTTGTAATTCTGAATTATAGACCAGAATTGATTCAATCCTTAGTAGTTTTTTACCCATGACCTAAATGTATGTTTTGATCTTGACTCAATTTCACATCTCAACTCTCAAGGTCGCTGGTCTGTTAAAAAATGGAATGGTATCCAAACTCTGCATGTAAATCTTGACCCTTTTGTTTAGAATTAAGTTGGCTCAATGTCATATCTTGAAGATGTACATGTAGGTAAATGGATCATGTATTATTCAAGTCATGCTTGGACCATCTCTTGAATTTTTGATTGGAGTAAATTCTTGAGTATGTTGATATTACATAACCTTGATTCAAGGTCAAATTTCTATAAAATATTTTATATTTTTTATTATATTTTAAGTGGTGTATGATGGTTATTGAATTAGAAGTGTGCTTCATTATTTATTATGGACTTTATGTTTAATGATTGTTATGTACAGTTTTATTTCTTGTTGTATCATCTGTTTTCATTCTCTGTATTACTTTGAATGTGGTTATAAGAGGGACATAATTACTATTAGGTCTTCTGTATACATCAATATGATCTCAAACTTATGTAGATATTTGTATGTAAATTATGATTTTACATCTCTATTGTTTTCATGGTTTATGAGTACATGTATAAAAGACATGTGCATATGGTTTGCTAAGTGGATTAAAGTATTATTCAATAAATATTGCAATAACTACAGCAGGAATCAATCTTTTGATTCAAACAAATAAGTCTTGTAATAATTGTAAAATAGTTTCATCATCGCTAAATTTTCACCTTGTATCATTTATAGTACAATTAAACATAGTAGAGTGAAATTGATTTTTTTTCGCCAGTGTAGGATAATGCTGTAAAGTTAAGAACATAGTCATGTAATGGTGAATTTTTTCAACAAAGAAAATTCTAGTTGGCAGTATTTCAGTGCACGGTGGTGTCTGAAACAATTTCAAATGTAACAGGAAAGGAGAAAAATTCGATGGACCAGACCAAGATTCCAACCCTGGCCCTTTGAATCTCTTAGGTGCTCTACCAACTGAGCTTTCTGGCCACCGGCGATCCCTTATTCTTCCCTCCTTAAAGGTGTTCAGCCCCCGAAGAAAACAATTAAAACAAAACCTAACCCTAACCTTGATGGACCAGACCGGGTTCAAATCCCGGTGACCATTTGTGCAAATAACAATGTTCTTCTAAGGGGAGATAATGAAGAATTAGTGAAGATTAAATTTCATCTTTTTAAATCCTCTCAAGAACCAGTGGGCCAGCAAAGATGAAACTTACATGGAAGCATCCTCGGGTAGTGTAGAAAATCAGGATTCCAAGGGCTAGGGTGGGGTCACAATAGGTATTCAAAGTTTTGCATATGAATATATAGGAACAAATCTTTAAAATTCTTCTCAGGAACCAATAGGCAAGAGTTGAAACTTATTTGAAAGCTTCATTACATAGTTTGTTTAAACTATGACCCCTGGGAGTAGAGTGGAGCCACAATGGGCGATCAAAGGAATATTACATAGGAAAAAACTTCCTCAAAAACAGCAAAGCCAATATTGGTCTTATATGAAAGCATCCCCAGGTAGTGTAAATTGAAGTTTGTTCAAGTCATGACCCCCCGGGGGTATGATAGGGCCACTAATGGCAATCAAAGTTTTACATAGAAATATATAGGAAAAAATTGTTGAAAACCCTAAGAGCAAAGGCATGAAAAGTCGTATTGATATGGCAGAATTCCCAAGTAGTATTGTTTGAAGTTTGGTTAAATCATGACCCCAAGGGGTTAGATTGGGCCACAATATGCAATCAAAGTTTAATGTAGGAATATACAGGAAAAATCATTATAAACCTTCTTCTCAGGAACAGCAAAGGCAGATGGGACCACAATAGACGACATTTTACATAGGAATATAAAGGAAAGATCTTTAAAAACCTTCTCAATCCTTGGGAACCACTGGACCTGAAGAGTTGAAACTTAAGTGAAAGCTTCATTACAAATTATTACCCCCAGGGTAGGGAAGGGCAAAATAAGCAATCAAAGTATACAGGGGGAAAAAATCTACTGATATAGACCAGAAGGGCCATAGTGACTCAGGTGAACGTTGTGGCCATGCGCCCCTTGTTTGATCCAGTTTTGTAGATTTGCTATCAAGTACTTGTATATTTTTCTTGTACATTCCTGTATTAAAAAATATGGATCCCCTTTTGTAGCACCATCCTCCCCACCCAACCCGGGAGTAATATATTTTGAACGAAGTAGAACTCGGGACCTAACCTAAAGTTACTTTCATATCCGTATGACTAATCATGGCCTTGCCGTTCATGAGAAGAGAGTTTCTAAAGATGTTTTCCCATATATACAAGTAATTTATCGACCCATGTTGAAGCCCCTCCTTACCTCCTTACCCCCCGGGGAGCATAATTTGATCAAACACAAACTTGAATCTGCACTGTACCTGAGGGTACTGACTGATCATAGTCTTGTTGTTCATTAGAAAAAGATAATCCTCAAATAAAAGACTGACCAGAAAATCATTTTCTGATATTAAAAATTCAATTTTTTGATATCAGGAAATTATTTTTAGCTCACCTGAGCCAAAGGCTCAAGTGAGCTTTTCTGATCAAAATTTGTCCGTTGTCTGTCGTCGTTGGCGTTGTCGTTGGCGTAAACTTTTCACAATTTCAACTTCTTCTCCAGAACTACTTGGCCAATTTCAACCAAACTTGGCACAAAGTATCCTTGGGTGAAGGGGATTCAAATTTGTTCAAATGAAGGGCCACGCCCTCTTTCAAGGGGAGATAATAAAGAATTAGTGAAAAATTAATAGCATCTTTTAAAAATCTACTTCTCAAGAAGCACAAAGCTAGGGAAATTGAAACTCATGTGGAAGCATCCTCAGGTAGTGTTCAAATTTGTTCAAATCATGACCCCCGGTGGGTAGGGCGGGGCAACAATGGAGGATCAAAGTTTTACATAGAAATATATAGGAAAAACCTTTAAATATCTTCTTCTCAAGAACAGGAAAACCGTAATTGGTCATATTTATATGGAAGCATCCTCAGGTAGTGTAGATCCAAGTTTGTTCAAATCATGACCCCCGGGGGTAGGGCGGGGCCACAATGGAGGATCAAAGTTTTGCATAGAAATATATAGGAAAAACTTTTAAAAATCTTCTTCTCAGGAACAGCAAAGCCCTAATTGGTCATATTTATATGGAAGCATCCTCAGGTAGTGTAGATCCAAGTTTGTTCAAATCATGACCCCGGGGGATAGGGCGGGTCCACAATGGAGGATCAAAGTTTTACATAGAAATATATAGGAAAAATCTTTAAAATCTTCTTCTCAGGAACAGCAAGGCCCTGATTGATCATATTTATGTGGAAGTATCCTCAGGTAGTATAGATTTAAGTTTGTTCAAATCATGACCCCCTGGGGTAGGGCAGGGCAACAATGGAGGATCAATGTCTGAAATAGAAATATATAGGAAGGTATCTTCTGATGAAGAACTGCAAAGCCATGATTAGTCATTTTGATATGGAAGCATCTTCAGGTAGTGTGGATTCAAGTTTGACCCCCGGGGATAGGGATGGGCCACAATGGGGGATCAAAATTTTTTTACATAGGAACATATTGGAAAATATCTTCTTCTCAAGAAATGAAAATCATGTTTAGTCATTTTGATATGGAAGCATCCTCAGGTAGTGTAAATTCAATTTTTTTTTTTCAAATGATAACCCCCAGGGGGAGTTTGGGGCCCAATGGGGATTGAAAGTTTTACATAAGAACAAATAGAAAAAATATTTCTTCTCAAGAACAGAAAAGCTATGTTTAGTCATATTGATATGGAAGCATCCTCGGGTAGTGTAGATTCAAGTTTGTTCAAATGATGACCTCTGGGATAGGGAGGAGCCACAATGGGGGATCAAAATTTTACAAAGGAATATATGGGAATTTTTTTTTAAAAATCTTCTCAAGTACAACAAAGCCATTTGTTATATTGACATGGAAGCATCATCAGGTAGTTTAAAATTCAACCCCCCCCCCCCCCGCCCAACCCCCAGTAATCTTTTCAATAATGAACTGATTTGTGTCTAGCTAATGTGCTCAGGTGAGCGGTGTGGCCCATGGGCCTCTTGTTGATATCGGAATAGGATTTTTTGATACCAGAAAATCGAAATTTTGACATCAGAAATGACTGTAGATTTTCTGGTATAAGGAAATTGAATTTTGATATCAAAAATTCATTTTCTGATATCAGAGATTCGAATTTTTGATATCAGAAATCAAAATTTTTATATAAAAAATTATTTTTGATATCAAAAAAACCTCTTATTTTTTATATTAAAAAATCTCTCTTATTTTTGATATCAAAAAATCTCTTTTCTGATATTAAAATTGATTTTTTGATATCAGAATGTATTAATCATCAGAAAATCATTTTCTGATATCAGAAAATACATTAAAAAATTAAAACGGTGACTCCATTTGAATAAAATTGAATCCGTGCATACTAGTACATATATATTTGAATTATGCTTAAAAGATGTTTCATGATCCTGGGGCCTGGTCTCCAAAAACTACATAGACATTGTCAATCAGAAACTCAAGCATCTTTTTAATATCAACTTCAAAGTACTTGTGTATATAATCAGAATGTTTTTAAAGGTG